TTTGATATTAAGCCAATTAAAGAGTGTCCGTACGTGTCGTAGAAAACCGGAGCAAACCCACGTGTGCGAGGGAGCAACACTCTATCCCCACTCTGATGCAACAGCTGGAGGCCACACTGTGCTGTACTGCGTTCTCCTGGCGAGCCAAGGTACGGCTCCTCCTCGACGTCCACGGAGTTGGCACGTGCGTCTCTCTCTCTCCCCGTGGTCGCGTGGATTTTTCTCCGGGTCCTCCGTTTTTTTTCCCCCCTCCGCATTTAGAACCAGCGTCACGCGTTCAGGGCATTTGACTGCGAAACATTGAACAGCCACTTCGTTTGAGCTATCGTTCGCGATAGCCAGGTCGCTTCTGAACAAGAGCAACGCAGCTCAGCGGCGCCTTACCTGGTAAACAAACAAAACGAGTTAAAAGTTTAGAGTTCACAAAAGTTTACAAACTTCACTTCACGTGACCGAGTTGCCACTTTGGTGTGACAACCCTCCCACCCCACCCCTAGTCCAGGTCGCTCACTGGACTAGGGGTCCTCTCGAGTTCTCGAAAATTGGCTTCCGACACTTGCGGCCTCGCAGGCTGCGTCACCTCTCCGCAAAAATAAACAGCACCGTCACAAAACTCGTTCAGCCGTCGCCACAAAGACAAAGATCACCCCACGCTCTCCCCCCGTGTAGCCTTAACAGACTGCTCTGAGGCAAAGTGCTGCTAGCGAGCAGCACCTATGAAGGCTGGCACAGCACACGAGGGGGTGGGTGGACAGGACCACGCCCGGCCGCCTTTGTCTCCCCAGTGGCGCCGTTTACTACACACCGCACCCGGTGCTCATTTGAGGCTGAGTCGACTAAGAGGGAGACGCAGGACGAGTTCAGAAAATCGTCACTGACGTGGGTGGCCGTGAACGGGACTCGAACTCGGGTCGCCGGGTTCGTAGTGCAGCGCGCTGACTGTTGCACTACCGCTCCCCACTGCTATCGTTGCATGCACGTACACACACACGTACATACACACACACACGTACACACACACACGTACACACACACGTACACACACACGTATACACGCACGCAGACCCAGCCTAAAGGCACCGACTCCTACCACTATAATTGCACTTTCCGCGACATCACATTTCACGACGTGGCAAATTCCCACGACACAAGGTTGCATCACATGTCGTATCGTTTCTGTGCTTTTCCCGTAAAAACCCGTAAGAAAGGTAAGGGGGCGCTGAGCTTTTCGCGAACGCACGATGGGGGTGCCATCCTCCACCTGCTCCAGCTTTGCTGAACAACCCAAATCAACTGGCGTGGTCGCCCATGGCGTGACGACTTTTGATTTGATTTGGCTCTGCCTGGATGGTGGACGGAGGGTGAGAGATCAAAGAAATCCGCACTGTGCACGACGGCGATGTTAACTACCTCGCCTGGTATGCGGGAGGTCGTGGGTTCGACCCTGACGCCGATGCCTGCTGTATATTTGGAGTTTGCGTGTCTCTCTCTCACCATCACCACAGTGGCTAGGAGATGTTAACTACCTCGCGTGGTATGCGGGAGGTCGTGGGTTCGACCCTGACGCCGATGCCTGCTGTATATTTGGAGTTTGCGTGTCTCTCTCTCTCATCATCACCACAGTGGCTAGGAGATGTTAACTACCTCGCCTGGTATGCGGGAGGTCGTGGGTTCGACCCTGACGCCGATGCCTGCTGTATATTTGGAGTTTGCGTGTCTCTCTTTCCGTGGTGGTCGTATGGATTTTTCTCTGAAGCCCTCCGGTTTTTCACTCACGATTTAAGAATCAAAGCGCGTTTAAGAGTATCGGCTGCTATACAGTACCACGTGATCATAAGCCACTTCGTTGAGCGATAATTTGTGGCCATGTCGCTTCTGAAAAAGAGCTATATAGCTCAGTGGGCCTTATCTGCTAAAATAAAAATAAAAAGTTTAGTTTGCAGTTTAGCGAGTTACACTCAAAACCAAAGAATCTAATCATGGATTAAATATTATAGAGATTAGCTTCAGCGTGGAACACCGTCAGAAGAAAGCCAATGACGCTCGCGATGCAGAGAGACCCCATCGGTCCAAGTCCACGCTGCCGTTGGCGGACTAATCCCCGCCGTCAAACTCCGCCACGCTAACGCATCGGGCGCGTGGGATCTCGACTCGTTGAACCATCGCGGGAGGCACGTCGCCGTGGCGCAAAAAAACAAACACACACACACACAAAAACCAACAGACTGTGAGCGGCGGTAACGGCTGGAGAGTCGACGACGGGGTCAAGTGGTGGGAGCCAAACGACCGCCGGCGTGGAGACTGCGCGCGTGACGTTCGGCGCTTCGCCAGCGTCCGCGCCGATACAAAACACGTGACGATTGCACAAGTCGACGCGCCACGCCGTGTAAAAATCATGTCCCACCCACCCACCCCCGCAAATAACCAACTATTACATCCGCGAGCCCCCCTCCCCCCACCGATACACTGTCCAGGAATCCACCTGCCCTGTGATAGCACACGCAGCACTAAAACTTGAGCAGTGGCTCTTAACCTTTGCCGCAGGCTTGCACACACCCCCCCCCTCCCCAACCCCCACTTTGGTTCTTAATCGTTAACAACTGTACGATGTTCATCGATGCACAGGGAAGTGATGAATAAAAGTAGCTGCGCTGACGTGTTCGAGTGGTGCTTTTGAATGATTCCGCTTCTAAAAAAAAATAAACAAAAATTCCGCCCGTGTCTCGCATCCCCAGAAAGGGCATCTCGCACCCCCAGATGAAGAGCCACCGCTCCAGAGGGAAAGCGTGGATGGTGCGGCAGCGGTGGATAGGCCAGGGGCCGGCAACCTGCGCCTCATGCGGCTCTTGCAAAGGTACCGCTTCCCGTGACGTTATTCACGTTGCATCGCGGTCTTGAAACGGCGAGATGCCTATATTCTTGGTTCTTTCGGTAAAGCCACGTAGAAGGGAAACAATAGAATAATAAAAAAATATATATAATAAACTATCGTAATAACGGCAAGACTTGTTTTTCTTGCCGTGGTTTTCACAGCTGATGTTGAGTGCTTGTCTTGCAGTCGAAACGTCGTGAGAATTTTATTGTTTTATATATTTTTTGTTAAATTATTTTATCGTTTCCCTTCAACGTGACTTTGCCGAAAGAACCCAAGAGTATGAATCCCTGCAGTCACGAAAGCTTTGAAGCAAAATTTAACGAAGATATTTGTTTTTTGCCGAATTCGAAAAGAAAATGCGCACACCCCAGGTTAAGAAGAATCACTGCACTAGAGAGACTGGGGGGGGGGGGGGCGGGGGGCAAAGCAAGCAGTGAATATTGAGAGTTGGTCCAGCCCAGCGGTCGGCGACCTGCGGCTATAAGAGCCGCATGAGGTGGGGCTCTTTGACGAGCCGCTCCGTGACGTCATTTTATAATTCATCAAATCACCGTCTCTCCTATTCGCCCCACAGTGCATTGCGGCTCTTGAAATATTGTGGGGGGATTTTTTTAATTACCGAATTTGGGGGGGGGGGGGGGGAATGTCTCCTCTTGTTAATTTAAACTACAACTTGTATTGTATGTTACCAGGTAAAGGCCCGCTCCGCTATGCAGCTCTTTGTTCAGAAGCGACCGATCACAAATTATTTCGGTTGCCGACCCCTGGTCGAGCCCGAACACGGTGGTGTGAAATAATTCCTCACGTCAACTTGGCATGTGTCCCGTCAGATCGTCTCGCGTTCGCAACCACCCGCAGAGCAGGTCAAAACAAAACGCTCACACTCACTCAACCACCTACCCACCCATTCACTCAACCACATACCCACCCACTCACTCAACCACATACCCACCCACTCACTCAACCACACACCCATTCACTCAACCACACATCTACTCAAGCAACCACACACCCACTCAACCACCCACCCACCCACTCGCTCAACCACCCACCCATCCGCTCAACCACCCACCCATCCGCTCAACCACCCACCCATCCGCTCAACCACACACCCACTCGCTCAACCACACACCCACTCGCTCAACCACACACCCACTCGCTCAACCACACACCCACTCGCTCAACCACACACCCACTCGCTCAACCACACACCCACTCGCTCAACCACACACCCACTCGCTCAACCACACACCCACTCGCTCAACCACACACCCACGTCGCTCAACCACACACCCACTCGCTCAACCACACACCCACTCGCTCAACCACACATCTACTCGCTCAACCACACACCCACTCAAGCAACCACACACCCACTCAATCAACCACACACCCACTCAACCACCCACCCACCATTCACTCAACAACACACGCACACGCACACCCACGAACTCAACCACACACTCACTCAGCTGTGCATTGCTCGACACTGGAATTCCCTCCTCCCATCACCGTCTATTTCCTTCCCCTAAAGCGATGAGAACAATCACCTCACTGGATTCCACAAACACGTCTGGCCACTTGAGATTTTGGGCCTCCCCCCCCCCCCCCCCCCCAGCAAATGCGTTACCAAAAACACGTATACAATAAAGTGTGCTACACGGCTCGGGTTCAAAAAGCATACGAACACAACAGCTGGAATACCAGCCCCCACCTCCACCCAGACTTCGCGTGCATCGACGCGTCTCCCCGAATACAAGAAATGTGATCACACGGAATCCTTAGCAGTCGCCCTCTCGTGGCTCTCCAGGGCTTATTCCAGTAGCACTGCAAGTGGACGCGTTTTCCATCCACACGGGAATTCAAGTGTTGGCAGCTGCCGGCTACTCGCACCCTTAGGGATTTCTCTCGGCACTCGCGATTTTCCCCGACAAGGACGGACACCACAATTGTTATTATTAACTGCCTCGTCCTGCTATGCAGGAGGTCGTGGATTCGAGCCCGACCCCGACGCCTGTTGTATATTTGGAGTTTGCGGTGTCTTTCTCCCCGTGGTCCTGGGGTAGTGATAGGGGTTGGGGTAGTGATGGGGGTAGTGATGGGGATAGTGATGGGGGTTGGAGTAGTGATGGGGGTTGAGGTAGTGATGGGGGGTTGGGGTAGTGATAGGGGTAGTGATAGGGGTAGTGATTGGGGTAGGCTTGATCCCAGCTGGGAGGTGAGGCAGGGTATAGTAATATCAGGACGATGATGGGCTAAGGTAGAAGAGATTGGGGTTGTTGTAAGGGAGGAACGGTAGCCGGTTATAGTGACGGTGAAAGTTTCATAATCGACGAAACGTGTTTATGCAATGCAGAAGGGCCGTTGACCTAAACGTCGCCTCCTATATATTATTATTTATTTTAAGGGCCACACGCAGTGCCATCGACGACCGTGTTGAGTTTGTCATCAATTAGGATGACGAGTTAGTCTACGGAAATGTTAGATGACAGGCCGACATAGCACAGACGAGGGCGGTGGCCTAGCGTCAATGAACATGTGACCGAGACCCCTCAGCTGCCCACGGAGCAACGTGCCGGGTAGCAGAGGGCAATTATATCAAATTACACCGCTGTACTCTACTTCTATGCTCCCACGTTCATGCTATCCGCCTTTACCAACCCGCATTTTGTCAAATTACCAGCACAATACACGGGTGAATACGTCATTGAGTGAGTGAGTGAGCGAGTGGGTAAATAGGGGAATTTAGTCATCGGTTGAGTGGGTGGGTGAGAGAGTGCATGAATCGGTGAGTGGGCGAATGAGAAATTGGGCGAGTGACTGAGTGTGTGAGTAAGTGGGTGAGAAAGTGGACGAATTACATATTGGGCGAGTGGGTAAGAGAGTGGGTGAATGAGTGAGTGATTGGGCGAGTGAGTGATTGGGCGAGTGAGTGGGCGAGTGACCGAGAGTGTGTTGCTGGGACCAGCGGTGCAGTGGTTGATGCCAGCGTGGGATGAGATGAATCGGTCAGAGTCTGCCAGAGACCAAGTCCTCAACACGGGTGGCGGCATCGATGGGTGAAGTTCGCGGGAACGGCAGCCACGGGGTACCTTCGCCCACGATCAGCTCAACCGCAGTGAACCCTGACCCAGCCAGAACTCAGAAGCTAAGCAGGCATTAGCCTGAGCAGTGGCCCGGATGGGCGACCCGCGTGCCGACACGGCCGCCATCGCTCTACGGAGCGACGCCGTTGTCTTCACTGCTCTCCCTTACCAGCCCGCACAGACCAGAGTGGCGCAGAATGTTCAAACATCAGTCGCGGGCCGCCCGGGGTGGGCAGGAACCTCATCCAGCAGTGGACAAACGCAAGGGGCCCGTACGCTCGTAAGTGCGTCACAGTGGCTCCAAGCGAAGCAGCCGTGCTTCCGGGGGGGGTATCTGGTGACTCGGCGCGCTGCTTTTGTAAGTCGGGAGTTTCCAGGACATGCCGCTGACTCCCACACTGAAACTGGAATATGTATACATATATAAAGTGATTAAGGTCCATAAAATAAACAAAATAGACAAACCGCACACGCCCCTTATCCCGCACCCCCTAGAAAATAAGGTCCCTCGAATGAGTAACTAACAAAATAGACCCTGCCATGTCATGGTCCAGGATTGATCCCAAGATCAAGCTTGCAAGAAGGTGGCTCAGACCCAAGACAAAAACTCCGCCGCAGACAAGAGACGGCTGCTGAGTGACGCCGGGGGCATTGGCAACGCCGCGTCGGGGGACGCCACGCCAGAGTTCAAATCCCGGTCCCGTGTCTTGCTGTACCACACCAGCCCACCTCTTCTCTCGGCCATTCCACTCACTCACACACACATCAGTCACACCTCTTCTCCAGCCCATGCCGTGCCGGTTTAGCCCCTCTCCATCCGACCAAACAGAAGCTGCTTGGGCATGCTGCGGCTGGGCATGCTGGCTACATGACCCAGCCAAGACAGCCTCGCCTGCTGGAAGAGCTCACCGATGATGGGGACTGTGTCCAGACCTTTCAAGGTTCTGCGAGCTCCTCACACAATCCAGCCTGGTTACACCCGGGATGGATTGTAGACAGGCCAGCCTGAATGTCTCGAACCGGGTGCAGATGTTCCTTTTCTAAGGGGGGTCCACGCCTCGCAAGCAAAGAGAGTGGAGGGCATGACGGTGGCTGATAAGACCCGGAGTTTCGTGTGGAGCGACAGGCCAGGAAGCTACCACAGAGCAGTTTTACGCAGCTGATGAAAAGATAATGCCGCTTGGCTGATTCGGTGCAAGGGCCTCTGCTGCAAAACGGGTGCTGGCCATCGGCAACTCAGCCCACGTACGGGAACGCCTCCACTAACAAAAAGTAACGCAAGGTACAAAAGTCAGCGATTCACCCGGATACCCTCGGACAGACTGTTGCGGCGTGTGCTGTCAGTGGCACAGCACAAGAGGGCGTTGGGTGGCCAGCACCACGCCCGACCGCCTTTGTCTCCCGAGTGGCGATGTTTACGCCTCGCACCAGGCACACATTTTAGGGCCGAGTTTGACCTAGGTGAGGCCCAGGACCAGTTCAGATGAATCGTCACCGGCGTCGGCCGTGAGCGAGAATCGCCGAGTTGGGAGCACAGCGCTCTGAACGCCACCGCTCCTCGCGCGCCGCACCCGCACCCGCTCGCATGCTCCTCAGCATCCGCACCCCCAGCCGGCGCCGACGGCGCGCGAGTCCAGTTTGAGCGAGCCATGCCGCGAGTCCGACACGGAGGGGCCGCCGTTGCGGGCCAACAGCTCGGCGGCCAGGCGCAGGAACACCTCGTCCACGTTGTCCGCCTCCTTGGCCGAGGTCTCGAGCGCGGCCAGCATGCCGTGCCGCCGCGCCAGCTCCTGACCCTCCTCCCACGACACCTGGCGCCCCTCGGCCATGTCCAGCTTGTTGCCTGCGGGGGACCGGCAGACGCGAGGAGCGGTTGCGATCACGGCGACGGCGGCGGTTAGCAAGTTGCGATGGCGAGGGTGGTGGTGCCGGTGGTGGTGGTGCCGGTGGCGGTTGCAATGGTGAGGCTGAGGAGATGACGGTGAGGACGAGGAGATGACAGTGAGCATGGTGCTGACGGTGGTTATGATGGTGAGGACGAGGTGACGGCGGTGAGGATGAGATGGCGGTGATGATGCGAGGATGAGGTGACGACGGTGAGGATCGCGGTGACGGTGGCGAGGACGAGTTAATGATGGTGAAGATGACGGTGAGCGCGGCGGGTTTGCCGGCGCCGCACCGATGAGCAGTTGCACGAGGTTGTGCCCGGCGTAGCGGTTGATGTCGTCGATCCATCGCGGCACGGAGAGGAAGGAGGGCCGGCTGGTGATGTCGTAGGCCAGCACCGCGCCGTTGGCGCTGCGGTAGTAGCTCTGCGTGATCGTCTTGAAGCGCTCCTGCCCGGCCGTGTCCCAGATCTGAAGCTGCGTCCGGATTCACCGACAGCACCGGCAGCAACGTCAACCGCCACCACCACCACCACCAATACCCCCCCCCCATTCGAAACAAAGTGACGGTAACGTCACCAGGGCACGGGTGCCTGGCCGGGTGCACTCTGAGGCAACCACCGCTACCACCACTGCCGCCACCAACACCGCTGCCGCCATCACTGCCGCCACTGCCACTCCACCACCGCCATCACAACCACCACCACCACCACCACGGCCTCTCGCAGACTTAACACGACTGGGCGGTGGGTAGTGGTGGTGGCTACGCTGCTGCATGTGCCTGCCTGTATTCCAGTGCTGTGGAGGCAGCAGGGAGGGTTGGTGGACCACCGCACAGGAGTTGTTGTGAAACTCCCTTCCCTGTGGGTGAGCGTCGAGGAACCGTTTACTCCGGCATGCCAGAAGGCAGTGCAGCAAACCGCGGACTAATCCCCATCTGTTCCATCTGTACGGGGACAGAGTGTTTCCCCACTCGCACGTGTCGTGGATTCAGCCGCGTCGCAGACCTGCCCTTTGGAGGCAACACATTTGTTAACTCCAACACTCGGGTTAACAGGATAACAACCTGTGGTGGTGACCACCAGGCTAACTACACTAATTACAACGTGACTCGCTGCAATTGACCGGACCACAGCTTGGGTCGAGGTCCACGTGTTGAGGACTCTGCAGGAGGGAGAGCGGAGACGAGAGGCCGACCGAAATTCGGTTTCGGTTGCGGCGCCGAAAGTTGGCAAATGGCCTCTTTCGGCATCGTTTCGGTTTCGGCCGAAAGTCGATTTTTTACTTCCGGTCTGGTTTCGGTTTCTTCAGGATGAACAACAGAAGCCGGTCCCCTCTGGGGGACTCCGCTTGTATCGCCTGCGGCGGGGCCGGCTCCGCCCCTGGCCACGGCCACCTTCCAGAACCCTCTAGCGGGATCTCCACCCGGGCCACGTGACTACCCCCACTCGCCCTACTTGGGGCCCCTTTGCAGACTTAACCGGTCACGTGTCCTCTTGGGTCAACCAGAGTGCACGGCCCTCCAGCGATCCTTTCTCTATGGGCCGCACTCGCACAGCCGATCCTCTAGGGCTGCCATTGCACGCCGAGGGCGACGGCATCAAGCGCCGTCAAATCGGCGCCGACCGAGGCCCTCTAGGGCCGGTACTGCACCCACATCCAAGTGGTGCCCGCGATGTCGCGACACCGCACGCGGTGCCTCCCGGGGGCCTTCGAGCGCAGCAGTGACATCCCGCGATGTCACTGCGCATGCGCAGGTTTGCTCTCCACGTGCATAACCGTTCAGAATCTTTATTGAAACTACAGGAGGAGGAATCCGATGTGCTACGAAGCTCTTTTTCACAGATGTCCAGCGTCGGCCGATAACACTTTTATAGAGGACCGCAGAGCTTGGAGGGGAATTGTATAATGCTAAACACAAATGCACTAAAACACGCGATATTGCGTATAAGGTATAGAATATAGAATTCATACGTAATAAATATACTTTGGACAATGTTAGTGTCGGTGGATGGGGGTTATTGGGGAGCGGTGGTGCAGCGGTTAGCGCGCTGCGCTACGAACCCCAGCTACCCGAGTTCAAATCCCGCTCATGACCACAAACACCGGTGACGATTATTTGAACCGGTCCTGGGCCTCCCCTAGGTTGACTCAGCCTCAAATGAGGACCTGGTCTCCCACTGCTGCTGCTCGCTAACAGCACTTGGCCCCAAAATTCTGTTGAGGCTACACGGGGGACCTTGGTCTTTGATAAGAGCGTGGTGGGGGGTAAGGGCGGAGTGGGGGGATGAGGGAGGGGTGGTGGTGGTGGTGGTGGTGGGGGATGGCGGACGGGGGTAAGGGGCGGTGAAGGGGGGTGGTGACCCGATTGTTTGTACAGCAAATTACATCGAGTAATGGAATCAGCTAGTGGGGGGGGGGGGTTTCTCATTCTCAGCGCGTTGCACAACAAAGCAAAGTGCACGGCCACGCGGTGGTCCCAATGGCAATGCCGCCTCGCCGAACTGGACCGGGGATTAAACGAGCAAGCCGCGGAAATCCACCGCTGCGCTTAAAACTCAGCGAGAGGGTGCGCGCTGGTAACGCACGCGCGCTACGTGCAACGCAGCCAATGCCACATTAAGGTAGTGCGGGGCCTGTAGCATGTGTTATAAAGGGAGCCTTGAATTTAAAAAAAAAATTAAAACGTAAAAAAAAAAACGCACGCATTTTTTTTTAACTCGCACAAGTGAAGAAAATGGATTTTTTTCATTTGCTACACGGCCAGATAATACGACAAAAAATTGATAACCTTAAACACCCGGTCGTTCGTAAAAGTTGAAGGCGGTGTAGTACTATAGTAATAGAGTTACGTGCAGAATCGCTGCACCGGAATTGATGGCTTGAAAGCGTTTCGCGCGGGGCCCTTGAAAGCGCGGGGCCCGTAGCTACGTGCCACCTTTGCTGCGGGGATAATCCGGCCCTGACAACTGCGCGTTAAAGTAAACGCAAGCGCCGTCCCGCACGCCGGCCTCTGTCGGGCGAGCACAGCGGCCACAGCGGTGGCGTGACGTTCAGCGGCGCGCTACACCTGACCCCGACCCCGACGCCTGTATATTTGGAGTTTGTACGTCTCGCTCGCTCTCTCTCTCCCCGTGGATTTTTTTTAACCGTGCCGTGCGGATTTTTCACCCCCACATTCAGAATCATCACGCGTTTGTAGTACTCTGAAAAAAAAGAGCTGGAAAGCTCAGCGGTGGCTTACCTGGTAAAATGAAAAGTTTCGAGGGATTTTTTTTTTTTTGGGGGATGGGGGGTGGGGGGATAATAGCTCGTTACGCGGGCCCTACGATTGGACGAGCCCCGGGTCGCGTTCCCGCGCGATCGTCACCTTGATCCTTTTGCCCTGCATGTCGACGGTCTTCATGGCAAAGTCGACGCCGATGGTGTTGCGCTGCCTCTCGAGGAAGATCCCGGACTTGAACCGCTGCACGACGCACGTCTTGCCCACGTCGGGGTCGCCGACGAGGATGACCTTGAAGAGGAAGTCGCACGCGCCGCCGCCCTCGCCATCGTGCATCGTCGCGCGGCTGCCACGGACGTCCCAACCACCGCGACGCCTGCACGCGCGTGATCACGCCGGCCCGGCAGAGCCCGCACGCGCGTGATCACGCCGGCCCGGCAGGGCCCCGCACGCGCGTGATAAAATAAAATCACGAGCACATTTCACTTGCCGATCTCGTCGAAGGAGGGGGGGGACCATATAAGCTGCCACGCAAACTCCGGTCATCCCCGCAGCAGCAGCAGCAGCAGCGCCTTTTTTGGCTGGCCCCATCGAACAAAGGCGGTGCTCGCCGACACCGCGCGCTTTCAGGTGCCGCCCTTCTGCGGCCGTCTGGAACGCGCTCTCCCTTCCGGTATTAGCGGGCCACTGGGGGCTACGCACTTTTAAATCATCTCGATTGAAGTGTCTTTTCTTGAGAAGCGCTTTTTGTGTTTAGTTCATTGTCATTGCCCCCACACCTCCGATTAGCGCGGTTGGCTACGTACGGTGCGAAAGAAGTTCGACATCCACACGCACGTCTGATGTCAGGGCGCTAACGTCGTCATAGCACAGGGCGTGGCAACGTGCCGCTACTGCGTGTCACGGACGAGTACAGTTCAGCTCATCCACTCACCAAACCCAACCGATCATTCACTCGCTCATCTGGCACGCTCGCTCACCCACCCACCCACTCGCTCACCCATTTGCTCACCGATTCAATCTCCCACTCATTGCTCCCGGCGGTATTGAACGGGGCTGCTATGCAGCTCGGAACCACGAACGTGGACAACAAGCGGCAAACGCGCCACCGCTCGGCCATAATAACACTGACCCACCACCCACGCCGGTTGTTATCACCACGGGCCACAAAGCGATTTTCCTACTCGCAAGGCCACCGAGGCATTGGTGCTCATATCCTGTTAACAGCCCTGCAGAGTCCCTGGTGGCACTTCCACATTTCTATGACGGGAACTGAATGCATCCATCGATAGCACAACCACTGTTGACGTCATCACACAGTGGTACTTATGTGGGAGGGATAACGCCTAATAACTCAATTCGTATTGGTATAAATCACACTAGTATAATGATAACGCGTTATTACTCACACTAGTGCTAGTATAACGCGTTATAACTCACACTCGTGCTAGTATAACGCGTTATAACTCACACTCGTGCTAGTATAACACGTTATAACTCGCACTAGTGCTAGTATAACACGTTATAACTCACACTAGTGCTAGTATAACACGTTATAACTCGCACTAGTGCTAGTATAACGCGTTATAACTCACACTAGTGCTAGTATAACACGTTATCACTCACACTAGTTCCAGTATAACACGTTATAACTCACACTAGTGCTAGTATAACGCGTTATAACTCACACTCGTGCTAGTATAACACGTTACAACTCACACTAGTGCTAGTATAACACGTTATAACTCACAATAGTGCTAGTATAACACGTTACAACTCACACTAGTGCTAGCATAACACGTTATAACTCACACTAGTGCTAGTATAACACGTTATTACTCACACTAGTGCTAGTATAACGCGTTATAACTCACACTCGTGCTAGTATAACACGTTATAACTCACACTCGTGCTAGTATAACACGTTATAACTCACACTAGTGCTAGTATAACACGTTATAACTCACCCTTGTGCTAGTATAACACGTTACAACTCACACTAGTGCTAGTATAACACGTTATAACTCACCCTAGTGCTAGTATAACGCGTTATAACTCACACTCGTGCTAGTATAACACGTTATAACTCACACTAGTGCTAGTATAACACGTTATAACTCACACTAGTGCTAGTATAACACGTTATAACTCACACTAGTGCTAGAATAACACGTTTTAACTCAGACTAGTGCTAGTATAACACGTTATAACTCATACGAGTGCTAGTATAACACGTTATAACTCACACTAGTGCTAGTATAACACGTTATAACTCACACTAGTGCTAGTATAACACGTTATAACTCACACTAGTGCTAGTATAACACGTTATAACTCACACTAGTGCTAGTATAACACGTTATAACTCACACTAGTGCTAGTATAACGTTATAACTCACACTAGTGCTAGTATAACACTATAACTCACACTAGTGCTAGTATAACACGTTATAACTCACCCTAGTGCTAGTATAACACGTTATAACTCACACTAGTTCTAGTATAACGTTATAACTCACACTAGTGCTAGTATAACACGTTATAACTCACACTAGTGCTAGTATAACACGTTATAACTCACACTAGTGCTAGTATAACACGTTATAACTCACACTAGTGCTAGTATAACACGTTATAACTCACACTAGTGCTAGTATAACACGTTATAACTCACACTAGTGCTAGTATAACACGTTATAACTCACACTAGTGCTAGTATAAACACGTTATAACTCACACTAGTGCTAGTATAACACGTTATAACTCACCCTAGTGCTAGTATAACACGTTATAACTCACACTAGTTCTAGTATAACACGTTATAACTCACACTAGTGCTAGTATAACACGTTATAACTCACACTAGTGCTAGTATAACACGTTATAACTCACACTAGTGCTAGTATAACACGTTATAACTCACACTAGTGCTAGTATAACACGTTATAACTCACACTAGTGCTAGTATAACACGTTATAACTCACACTAGTGCTAGTATAACACGTTATAACTCACACTAGTGCTAGTATAACACGTTATAACTCACACTAGTGCTAGTATAACACGTTATAACTCACACTAGTGCTAGTATAACACGTTATAACTCACACTAGTTCCAGTATAACACGTTATAACTCACACTAGTGCTAGTATAACACGTTATAACTCACACTAGTTCCAGTATAACACGTGTACTAACCCGTGTTACAATAGCGCTCTCTTGCACAGTTACTGCTGTTATAACGCACCAGTGCAGTACAGTACACTGCTGCAGTCTCTATCCACTGCTGCAGTCTCTATCCACTGCTGCAGTCTCTATCCACTGCTGCAGTCTCTATCCACTGCTGCAGTCTCTATCCACTGCTGCAGTCTCTATCCACTGCTGCAGTCTCTATCCACTGCTGCAGTCTCTATACCACTGTCTCTATCCACAGTCTCTATCCACTGCTGCAGTCTCTATCCACTGCTGCAGTCTCTATCCACTGCTGCAGTCTCTATCCACTGCTGCAGTCTCTATCCACTGCTGCAGTCTCTATCCACAGTCTCTCTCCACAGTCTCTATCCACTGCTGCAGTCTCTATCCACTGCTGCAGTCTCTATCCACTGCTGCAGTCTCTATCCACTGCTGCAGTCTCTATCCACTGCTGCAGTCTCTATCCACTGCTGCAGTCTCTATCCACTGCTGCAGTCTCTATCCACTGCTGCAGTCTCTATCCACTGCTGCAGTCTCTATCCACTGCTAACCTGATTCGAGGCGACGTGGAGCGCAGCCGAGATGAGTGAAACTTGGCAGGTCGACGCACTCGGAACGCGTCTTGCGTGGCAGGCGATTGCGAATCAACAGCGGCGACTACGGTTACTAACAAGGACGACAAGAATGCCGACGTGATTTTAACGAAGCAAAGGGGGGCATGGGTAAAAATAAAAAGACGACAATTTAAAAAAAAACAAATCTCTGAAAGTTTCCCTCGCCCCGAACTGGAAACTTTGAGACGGAAGCCCAAGAAACCGCGGAGGTTAAAGGGCAGCAGCGTGACGTCACCGCTGAGGCCGCACCCCCTTTGGGTTTCTTTTCGGAGATCTTCTTCCACCGGAAGATGTCTTCCGCCACGGGTAGTAGTGGCGGTGGTAGTAGTGGCGGTGGTAGTGGTGGTGGTAGTGGTGGTGGTAGTAGTGGTGGTAGTAGTGGTGGTAGGAGTAGTGGTGGTGGTAGTAGTTATAGTGATAGTGGCGGTGGTAGTAGTGGTGGTAGTGGTAGTAGTGGTGGTGGTAGTAGTTGTGGTGGTAGTGGTGGTAGTAGTGGTGGTAGTGGTGGTAGTAGTTATGGTGATATTGGTGGTGGTGGTAATAGTAGTTGTGGTGTTAGTGGTGGTAGGAGTAGTGGTAGTAGTGGTGGTAGGAGTAGTGGTAGTAGTGGTGGTAGGAGTAGTGGTGGTGGTAGTAGTTATGGTGATAGTGGTGGTGGTAGTAGTGGTGGCAGTAGTTGTGGTAGTAGTAGTAGTGATGGTGGTAGTAGTAGTGGTGGTAGTAGTTGTGGTGGTAGTGGTAGTAGTGGTGGTGGTAGTAGTTGTGGTGGTAGTGGTGGTAGTAGTTATGGTGATATTGGTGGTGGTGGTAATAGTTGTAGTGTTAGAAGTGGTGGTAGTAGTGGTGGCAGTAGTTGTGGTAGTAGTAGTGATGGTGGTAGTAGTAGTGGTGGTAGTAGTTGTGGTGGTAGTGGTAGTAGTGGTGGTGGTAATAGTTGTGGTGGTGGTGGTAGTGGTGGTAGTAGTTATGGTGATATTGGTGGTGGTAGTAGTAGTTGTGGTGTTAGTGGTGGTGGTAGTAGTGGTGGTAGTAGTGGTGGCAGTAGTTGTGGTGGTAGTGGTAGTAGTGGTGGTAGTAGTAGTTGTGGTGTTAGTGGTGGTGGTAGTGGTGGTGGTAGTAGTGGTGGCAGTAGTTGTGGTGGTAGTGGTAGTAGTGGTGGTAGTAGTAGTGGCGGTCATATTGGTGGTGGTAGTAGTGGTGGTAGTAGTGGTGGTAGGAGTAGTGGTAGTAGTGGCGGTGGTAGTGGTGGTGGTAGTGGTGGTAGGAGTAGTAGTGGTGGTAGTAGTTATGGTGATAGTGGTGGTGATAGTGGTGGTGGTAGTAGTGGCGGTGGTAGTGGTGGTGGTAGTAGTGGTGGTAGTAGTTGTGGTAGTAGTTGTGGTATTAGTGGTGGTAGGAGTAGTGGTAGTAGTGGTGGTGGTAGTAGTTGTAGTGGTAGTGGTGGTATTAGTGGTTGTGGTAGTAGTTGTGGTGGTAGTGGTGGTAGTAGTTATGGTGATATTGGTGGTGGTGGTAATAGTTGTGGTGTTAGAAGTGGTGGTAGTAGTGGTGGCAGTAGTTGTGGTAGTAGTAGTAGTGGTGGTGGTAGTAGTAGTGGTGGTAGTAGTTGTGGTGGTAGTGGTAATAGTGGTAGTAGTGGTGGTGGTAGTAGTTGTGGTGGCGGTAGTGGTGGTAGTAGTTATGGTGATATTGGTGGTGGTAGCAGTAGTTGTGGTGTTAGTGGTGGTCGTAGTAGTGGTGGTAGTAGTGGTGGCAGTAGTTGTGGTGGTAGTGGTAGTAGTGGTGGTAGTAGTAGTTGTGATGGTAGTAGTGATGGTAGTGGGGCGTGGTAGTAGTTGTGATGGTAGTAGTGGTGGTGGTAGTGGTGGTGGTAGTGATGGTGGTGGTGGTAGTAGTGATTGTAGTGGGGAGTGGTAGTAGTTATGATGGTAGTAGTGGTGGTGGTAGTGGTGGTGGTAGTGATGGTGGTGGTGGTAGTAGTGATAGTAGTGGGGAGTGGTAGTAGTTGTGATGGTAGTAGTGGTGGTGGTAGTGGTGGTGGTAGTAGTGATAGTAGTGGGGAGTGGTAGTAGTGGTGGTAGTGGGGCGTGGTAGTAGTTCTGGTAGTAGTGGTGGTGGTAGTGGTGGTAGTGGTGGTGGTGGTAGTAGTGATCGTAGTGGGGAGTGGTAGTAGTTGTGGTGGTAGTGGTGGTGGTAGTGGTGGTGGTAGTAGTGATAGTAGTTGTGGTGGTAGTAGTGGTGGTGGTAGTGGTGGTAGTGATGGTGGTGGTGGTAGTGCAACACCGTGCTGCGCATGGAACACCGCCACCCGAGTTTCGATACCATCTCAGATACCATCTCAGATACCATCTCAGATACCATCTCAAATACCATCTCAGATACCATCTCAGATACCATCTCAGGCATCGATATCATCTCAGATACCATCTCAGATACCATATCAGGCATCGATACCATCTCAGATATCATCTCAGATACCATCTCAGATATCATTTCAGATACCATCTCAGATGTCATCTCAGGCATCAATACCATCTCAGATATCATTTCAGATACCATCTCAGATGTCATCTCAGGCATCAATACCATCTCAGATATCATCTCAGATACCATCTCAGATGTCATCTCAGGCATCAATACCATCTCAGATATCATCTCAGATACCATCTCAGGCATCAATACCATCTCAGATATCATCTCAGGCATCGATAGCATCTCAGATATCATCTCAGGCATCGATACCATCTCAGATATCATCTCAGATACCATCTCAGGCATCAATACCATCTCAGATATCATCTCAGATACCATCTCAGATGTCATCTCAGGCATCAATACCATCTCAGATATCATCTCAGATACCATCTCAGGCATCAATACCATCTCAGATATCATCTCAGGCATCGATACCATCTCAGATATCATCTCAGGCATCGATACCATCTCAGATACCATCTCAGATACCATCTCAGGCATCAATACCATCTCAGATACCATCTCAGATACCATCTCAGATACCATCTCAGGCATCAATGCCATCTCAGATATCATCTCAGGCATCGATACCATCTCAGATACCATCTCAGATACCATCTCAGGCATCAATACCATCTCAGATACCATCTCAGATACCATCTCAGGCATCAATACCATCTCAGATGTCATCTCAGGCATCAATACCATCTCAGATACCATCTCAGATACCATCTCAGGCATCAATACCATCTCAGATATCATCTCAGGCATCGATACCATCTCAGATATCATCTCAGGCATCAATACCATCTCAGATATCATCTCAGATACCATCTCAGGCATCAATACCATCTCAGATATCATCTCAGGCATCGATACCATCTCAGATATCATCTCAGGCATCGATACCATCTCAGATACCATCTCAGATACCATCTCAGGCATCAATACCATCTCAGATACCATCTCAGATACCATCTCAGATACCATCTCAGGCATCAATGCCATCTCAGATATCATCTCAGGCATCGATACCATCTCAGATACCATCTCAGATACCATCTCAGGCATCAATACCATCTCAGATACCATCTCAGATACCATCTCAGATACCATCTCAGGCATCAATACCATCTCAGATGTCAACTCAGGCATCAATACCATCTCAGATACCATCTCAGATACCATCTCAGGCATCAATACCATCTCAGATACCATCTCAGATACCATCTCAGATACCATCTCAGGCATCAATGCCATCTCAGATATCATCTCAGGCATCGATACCATCTCAGATACCATCTCACATACCATCTCAGGCATCAATACCATCTCAGATACCATCTCAGATACCATCTCAGATACCATCTCAGGCATCAATACCATCTCAGATGTCATCTCAGGCATCAATACCATCTCAGATACCATCTCAGGCATCAATACCATCTCAGGCATCGATACCATCTCAGGTACCATCTCAGGCATCAATATCATCTCAGGTACCATCTCAGATACCATCTCAGGCATCAATACCATCTCAGATGTCATCTCAGGCATCAATACCATCTCAGATACCATCTCAGATACCATCTCAGGCATCAATACCATCTCAGGCATCGATACCATCTCAGGTACCATCTCAGGCATCAATATCATCTCAGGTACCATCTCAGATACCATCTCAGATACCATCTCAGGCATCAATACCATCTCAGATACCATCTCAGATACCATCTCAGATACCATCTCAGATACCATCTTAGATACGATCTCAGATACCATCTCAGATACCATCTCAGATACCATCGCAGGGCAACCAACACCAGTGGCGATTATCTGAACCGGCCCTGGGCCTACCCTAGGTCGACTCAGCCTCAAACGAGTACCTGGTGCGGTGTGTAAACATTGCCACTAGGGAGACAAAGGCGACCGGGCGTGGTGCTGGCCACCCACCCCCTCGTGTGCCGTGCCGGCCTTCACAGGTGCCACTCACTAGCGGCACTTGGGGGCCGTCCATAAATGACGTCACGCACCTGGGGGGGGGGGGGCGGGGTCAGACATTTGTGACGATGTGTGACGAGGGGGGAGGGGGTTTGAGAAATGTGACGTCACATCAAAATGCGCAACTTTAAATAAATATAGACAACACGTTCTACTTTATTAAAAATACTTTTTAATAAATGTTTTCTCTTACAGCATCAGAGTGCAGCGCCACATTAAATACGCACTACAATGACAATAGTTTAAAGCGATTTGAAGCATTTTTTCTTTGGGGGGGGGGGCGGAGCTTTGTGACGTCATATTTCAGAGGAGGTCTGACTTTTTGTGACGCCGTGTGACAAGGGGGGAGGGGGTCAAAAATCGTCCAAAATCGCGTGACGTCATTTATGGACGGCCCCTTACCCCAACAGTCTGTTACAGGCTATGATAGGGGGGTTGGGGTGATCCTTGGTGGTGGTGGTGGTGGCATCCTCACGACGCCCGTGATTGCTGCAACTGAGCCGGGTCGAGCCAAGCCCGCTAGGCTCGGCCACTCGGCGCGTTTCTGAGAGCAATCTGTCATCTCGCGGAACCTCGTGACAAATCCGACAGCTCTCGTTTGTCTCCTGGAATCCCAGGGGAGAATGTTGGGGGGGGGGGGGGAGCTGGGAAATTAATATATAAATAAAGAAATATCGTTCTAATAATACATTTTGTCATTTTATTTAGACAGAATGTATACACTGTCTGGATTGGCTGCCAGTTCAAACTCGCATCGATTTTAAGATTATCC